TGCAGTACCAGATGCCTCCATATTTGGACACACTGATAGAGACCAGGGATGAGACTCCCATACAATCCTCCTTTAACTACCCCACCCCCTCATATGTCCTGGGACACTGTCCATCCCTTACAAATTATTTTACTGTTACTCTGCCTCCCTTTACAATCACTCTAAGGGAATTTGGTCATGAATTTTAAAGTGAGGTAATTATTTGAAATCAATTAAAAACAGGTCTAGATGGTTCAATTTCAAGCCATATAAAGCCATGTAAACTTCAAAAAGCTATCCTAAACAAATTGATTTAAATATTTGATTTATTTCTCAAGTTTCTACTAGGCATATGTGGCGTGTTTGTGACGCAATAACACTGTTACTGCTGCGTCACTCCTATAAACAAACACACAGCTTCAGCTGTAAAAGGAATTTTTCTGCTTGACTGCAAAAGGTTTGATATGACACAAATGCTTTTTACAGAGCACCAATATTTATCCAGGTGCAATATGAGAAGATTAAAGAATTATAATGAACTTGATTCTTAACAAAAGACGCAAATATGAAACTGGCACAATCTTTAAAAGATTGCTGTCCTCTTCACTAGTTATGTTTTTGAGTAATTGTAGGAATTGAAGTCAACCCTTACATTTATTAATACTGTACATGTACTGTAGTACTCCTCCCTCATGGCCTAGAGTGTGGGAAATCCTTGGGAAAGGGTCAGGACCAGAAAATATGCTGCTCTCTCTCCTTCTCGTCTTGTGCCTTGTCACACAACTCTCTCTTTCATGAACCACCAGGGACCAGTGCTTTACAAGCTGTTTGTGGTGAGGGCCTGCTACACTACAGTAAAGAGACTAAGTGCCGAAATTCTTGTGCTTAATGTTATAAAATTTGTTCTACTATTGTATTACTCTATTATGTATTCTCCTTATTGTAACATATAATGCTGCTTCGATAGTCACTATTACATTGCAGTCTTCATGTCAAGCCAAAAAGAACAGACCAAGAAGACTAAACATGTCACAAAACAATAAACAAACCTATCTTCAAAAGTGGCCTTGATTTAGCCATGGCCACTGCCTCTATTATGGGAACAATGACCTTAAATTAGCAATCCTATATTTTGATAAGGATCCTATTTTTACATTTTTACAAAGCAAGTCAATCAGTCGATGTATTCTATTTTTGATCTAATTTAAACACAAAAGGGTGAGCTGTGTTAATTAAAGGAACACCTCAATTATTTTTGGATTATGTGAGTAACAATAACCAAAAGGTATTATGGCATCCCATTAGAAATGTGCCAAGATGCTCCTCTAAGGTTGGATAAATTACCCATATATCTCCCACGTCTCACATAAATAACATCTTTACCACATTTATTATTTCTATCACCTGTACTCTGAACTTTATATCTATAAAACAGAGCCGGGAAACTCATGGATTTTTTTAACACACTTGAGGCTACGCTCCATTAATTATTCAGTACAGCCGTTTAACACCGCAGTAGCACACAGAGGTTGGCCTATAGGCAATGATACACAAGTTACCGTCAATTGAAGGAACAGAGAAAAAAGTTGTCAACAAAATCATTGTTTTGATGACTATGTTTACATGTTGCTCAATACGTCAAATAGGTCCCTATAAGAGATCTCAAATATGTTTAGAATTTTTGTTATTAGGGGTGGTTGATATTCTTAAAGAAATTATACAATTTCCTTAGAGACCAATTATCGATTCATTTTATCATGATTCATCTACATTATTAACTACAAAGCCTTTAATAAGGAACTAAACTAAAATCATCATCTTATGCTGCTGAGAGCTCACATTTCGTTGTGATTGGTTAAATCCCCTGTTACTCACTCAGGCAGTGAAGGAGGAGAAATAGAAAGAGCTGGTGAAGAGAAAGCTCTGTGATGAGATCTGCAATAGCACTGAATAATGATTCAATTTCAACAAAAATAATATTTTCACAGGAATGAGATCACAATCTTGATTTTGATCAGCAAAAACAGAACATATACTAAAATAAAAGAGATGCATGAGGAAGTTAAGCAGTAGTAGTCAATTTGCTACAACAAACTATTTGAAGAACAACAAGGACTGGTAAAACTTAAATTGAATATTCATAACTACCACTATTGAACAATGTATTGTAAAGTTGTTCAGACAGATCTACAGACACTGGCCTGGGTTGGGCTCTGTTATCAACACCCACCACACATACACACACAAAGAACTGTGACTCGACACATTCTTGAGCAACTGAAAAGTCAAACATTTGGTCAAATAGTTGGCAATAGGGGTGACAAAATACTTGTAGGTAAGGGTCAGAGGAACATTGCCTGTCATCATAGAAAGGTATGTGATTCAAGCAGAAAGATGATTAGTCTATCTTTCACAAATGTATCTACAGGTAACTATGGTCATAAATCAATACAATGACTGTGTGTGGTAATTTATATGTAGTCAAACAAAAAGCCTCATAAAAAAACAAGAAAAACAGAGCGTTTGATAAAGAAATGTTTTTTAAAATTATTAAAATAAGTAATCACCACTTTTACAGTAGCTTACAACACTCCCTTTGCATGCTCCAGCCTGGCGCCAAGGCAAACACTTTTCCTCTTTGACACAAAAGGCAAATATTGTCTGGCTCTGGTACCCTGACCGATTTGCTTTGGAGTATTTTGGCATGGTTATTTTTAATGGCGGTGTGTGTTTCAATGCTCTGGGCAAGGCTCCGGATCCAGGGGCAGGGGTCTGCTACAGAAGCAACCTACGTATTATTACATATGACGTATTATTAAATATTTTCTAAATATTTAAAATCAAAATCATGCCTGAATTATACTTTTTAATCCTAACTTTGATCTCAGTCATTCACAAAAAAGACAAAAAATAAATTAAACTTTTCTGGCACTTGTCTGCGCTTAAATACCATATTAAAGTTAAGGTATACTTTATTATCACCATAGGTAAATCTGTCCTTCCTTTAACCCATCCTTCGATGCTGCTGGGGCAACCTATCAGGAGCAGTGGGCGTGGCACTGGGGGACTATATCTACAGATCTTGAGCAAGGCCTGGTTGATGGGGAAAACCGCAGTGCCCAAAGGAAACCCACCCAGACAGAGAATTTGACAGGAGTTCGACCTGGAACCTTCTTGGTGTGAGACTATGTGCTGTGTAGGCAATTTATCATAATATAATTTATTTTCTGTTGCCTTGTTTTCAACTGAGCCTATGTTATCTCTTATCTAATCATCTCGCTGTGCTGTGTAGTCCCTCCTTAGCCAGTCTCTCAAGTCCAGCTGGACCTGAAGCCATAGAAAGCCAACATGCTTTGAAAGGCAATACCACATATGATCCACTTCAGACCCCTCAAGCATGGTTCGGACCCCTCAAATGACCATGGAAACACTTTCAAAACCAATGGAAATAGGCCACTGTAGCTACACACCAGTCCAAGGGCTTCCCACTGTTAGAAAACTGTATATATGATAATAGTGTTTAAACATTAAATGTACAATCTGATTGCAACAATTAAACTATCTGTTGTCTGGCACATACAGTAACAATGCCATGCATACTTGAACGCTTAATGTATTTGTCCAAGGTGTGACCGTCTCATACTTTGGTTGTTGTATCATATCTACAGGAATGACATAAGTTGTGCATCCAGTTTTATAATTTGTGTGTGTGTGTGCGTGTGTGTATGCGTGTGTGTGTGTGTGTGTGTGTGTGTGTGTGTGTGTGTGTGCGTGTGTGTGCGTATGTGTCACACTCCATTCCCAAAACGAGCTTGCATAACTTAATATGATTAAGTCTCTATAGAAAAGTCAAATCAAAAAGCTCACTAATCAAAAAGTTTACACCATCTTTAAAAAAAATTCTGTTTCTGTCAGTTAAGTGTCTGGAAGGAGAAAAATGATGGCACCAGTTAGAGCCCAATGCGAGTATGGCCTAACAATACAACAGACCTTCTCTATTCAGTGTTCACAAGAGAGCTAAGATTAGACGGCCCACCAGGAATTCCCTGTTGGAGAGATTACTGTCAATGATGCCGCTATAAGCCACTGTGAGCGCACAAAAATATTTCAAACATCCTTGGACATATTTCCTCTTTATATCATGACCCCTCTTCGTATCTCTTTCATCCTGCTGCCAATGTAACAAACACTTTCTCTGTGTAATTCAATCCCCCAAAATACCTGCCTCATGACAGTTAGGTCAGAAAGCTCTTCTCTCAACAGCAGTAACAACACAATGAAATGCAAACAAAGATATGAAAACCAGCACTTGTCAAATCACAATGCAAGAAACAAACAAACTGTGTTAGGACTGCCATATAATTGTGTTTTTGCTATTGCAACTGTTATAGGTATTTAGAAAATATTTCATGTTTTGTGCAGTCCTTGCCTTAATTTAATAAGTGCAACATACATCTCAAACTTATGACTACTGCACATGCACGATTTTTATCTTAATAAAAGCTACCAAATGCTTTGTAATCTCCAAACAATAAAAGACAAAAAGCTTTTTTACTTCCTGGTAATCTAATCTCTTGACCCTGTTGTCCAGTCTTCTGTTGGTAAATAAGTCTGACAGGAATAACTGGTCAGATAAGGTTTTAGAGCGTCTATGGATGCACTGACCCCATTTAACCCTGATGACCAAGCATTCATGCACACTAATGCAATCGTCCATTCTCCATCTCTGCATCATTACAGCACATCACGACAGCAGGTGAATAACTGAATAACTCATTAAGTATTAGTGAGTAAATTGTACATTTTTTCAAGCCATATTTGAAAAGAAATGCACACTGTAAGAAAAAGTTCATTAATAGAAAGGATAATAGAAAGATTTCTTTTAATGTTTTTGCTTGATATTACTACTCTTGATTATCAGGACAGGACTCAGATCTCTTGTGTATTACTTGGCTAGGCCCATAAGACATATACTTAAACACACATATATGATCAAAACTAGTAATAGCAGAATAGCTTACCTTTAATTTTCTCTACAGCTATCTGGCCAGCTCTTTCTGCCACCCTTCCATCTTCCCTTATGTAGCGATCATCCAGAAACTTTGCAGTAGCTTCAGACAGGTGAACTTTCCCTGCAACACCCAGCTGTTCCATAAGATTGGCCAGATTGACGTCATTGGACCACACATCAAATTTGATGCGCTTCATTCCCAGGATCCCGCACAGAACTGTCCCTGTATGCACTCCCACCCGCATGTTAACCGTCTCACACGTCTCCTGGCAGAACTGTTCGATCGCCTGGATCATGCCTAGTCCCATCTCCACACAGCAGTACGCATGATCTGGTTTGGGCTCGGGACATCCTGCCACACAGTAGTAACAGTCCCCCAAAGTGCTGATTTTCTCACAGCCCGTTAACTCACAGAGGCGATCAAAGCGGCCAAATAAATCATTGAGGAGACCCACTAAGGCTGGGGCTGACTTGTTTGCGGACATTTTAGTGAAGCCAACAATATCTGCAAAAAGGATGCTGACTGGCTCCATCCGTTTCATGTTGAAAGGTCTGAATATGATCTGACCTCGTGGTATGGAGGTCTTCTTACTTTTGTGATTGCTATGGTTTTTGGGGCTTATGGCACTTTGTGATTGTAATCCTGCAGCACCTCCTGCTCCCCCCACAGACACAGCAGAGGCAGAGCAGGCTCCAGAGGAATAACGTTTGCCTGAGTTTTCTCCACCCCCACCTTCATCATCTCCCTGTTTCATGAGCTCATCGGCCACCCGTCGGGGCATCACAGAGTGGATCATGCGCTCCTTCAGGGCTTTCTCCACCTCCAAATCCTTTCCGTGCATTATGGCTTGTCCCACTTTGAGGAAGGTGCTCCGAGAACGCACCTCTGACATGATGAAGAGATGGATACCAATGACATGTGCACAAAGGTGGAGCAGGGCTTTCCCTGGGCCCAACCAACGAAGTGTGTCCTCTTCAGTGTTGTCATATCCCCTCTGAAGGAAAGGTAACCATCCAAAGGCTTCAAACAGAACAGAGTAGAGGAGCCCCAAGAGCACAGACGCATAGAGGCGTACATGAAGGACACTGTAGAGCAGCAGCAGCACCTCCATGCAGAGAGAGAACGTGCCAACAGGTGAAATGCATGGCATTATTAGAGGCTTGGCTGACTGATAGGACGCATTACCACTGCCTGCCCACTCTAGCTCTGTATAACCTGCAGTCTGTGTTTGGGGAGCTAGAGTCATTGCAAATGTGACTGCAATAAGAAGCAGTGAGGTTTGGCTATAAAGCTGTGTGTATGGCTGGGTGAAGGTGAACACAAACAGGAGCACAAGAAGGACCAGGAAACAGGCAGTTGGGACAAGAAAGGCCATGGGGTTACATCGGTCATTATTGACCCCAAAATAAATGCCCCAGAGGACAGAGGATGCTGCCAGGTAAAAAAGGACATATCGAAAACGCCTCTGTGTCTGGGGAAAGCACCTCTCCTGGCATGCCTCCTCCAAGATGGGAGAATCAAATTTGGGGTCCCAGCACTGGGCAGCTGACCTCTCGAACAGTGGGGGTGCTTCTCTGTGCACTCTGGAGGCAGAGGTGACAGCATGTCTGGAGTCTGCTGAGCTGCAGCTGGAGGAGATGCTGTATTTATGGAGGTTAGGGTTGGTTTTACTCACAGCCTTATTGTCCCCAGCTCCTCTGCTGGCATCTGTCACTGACTCCTGACCATGCACGTGTGGTGCACTGTTGGTAATCCTCACAGTCACAGCACCATCCCCACTGGAGTCGCAGCTCACTTCCGTGCCGTGCATAAGAAGCTGCCGGTGTTGTTGCAGAGTGGCCATATTGACTGGTGTGACGCGGTAAAGGGGAGGCAGACGATGCGTTAAATATTAATAATATCTCCTGATGGCGCTCCGGCACTTACATGACTTGCGTGGGCGCCGTGTGTGCACGGGTGGCACGATGAAAGGAGTAGACAGGTTTGTTGGAACAATTACACTGCATGAATGGTAAGCACAGCACAGACGTCTTTGCTACGCACACAGCAGCCTGACCACTCACTCTCATAAGACGCACCGTTCCAGTTTCTTGAGCAGTTCATTATCTGGCCCCTGGTTTGCGTCACTACTCACATTACACGTACCCTTCTCCAAAGAGGCTCTGGTCTGAGCACAGCGTCTCTCCAGCTGTGGTAAAAACACTGTCATCACTCTTTCTGTCTCCTAAACTCAACATCCTTCTCGGAAAGCACAGCCTAGTGATGCAACTCAATTTTACGCCCTCATCAAGAAAGTCTTCTTCACTGGAACCGATCTCCTGTATGCAGCACGCGACGTCAGAAAATGTCCAGATGTTTTATTCCAATAAAGTCTTGATTGCATGGAAAGACAGCGCAATGATCCAGCGACTCATTCAATGAGCTACAGATGACTATCAACAGTTGGAGCTGCGCAGCAAGTGACACAAAAGTTGCACTGTCCTTAAGCTCTTGTTAAAGCGTCACTAGAAACACACTAAATTGCAGTGATGTGAAACACAGTCATGAATGTTGCAAAAAGCTATATTTTGTGTAGGTTATGTGCCAAAATGATTTTGCAGAAATACTCAAATTTGGTTTTCCTCTGAATTTGCCCAGCGTGGGCAACAGGGATTGCTTCAAATAACAGTGATGTCAATGCGCTTAAATGTTGAATCTAATGCCTTGCAGTTTTTACCATCTCTACTAATGCATGGCTCGATATGTCAAAGATTCCACAGCTGTATGTCCATGTGCGTATCGCATAATCGCCAATCCAAGAGCTCCTGCAAATATTAAAGTCTGCGGTGATCCGGAATCCAGTCCGAGATCCAGATCATAAAAGGCCTGACAGACAGGCCTATCCCCGCGGATCCAGCCCCGTCCTTTCCTGAACTCCCTCTCCGGATCTCCGGACTGTATTCCCTCTCTGCTTTCCAAAGTGGGGGTCGGGAGAGGTATGTGCTATTCAAAGACGCGCAAGCCAAAAAGAGAAGCGCAAAAAATACCATCCACTGTCCCAAATTAGAGTAGGTTTGCCTCTGCTGGGAGTGTCTGCAACTTGTTGCGCGCAGTTGGCAAAACATAGAGCTATGAGGAACAGCCTTGGTCGGAGCAGGCTGGTCTATAAATAGTGATGATCAAAACTCTTGCAATAACAGCACATAGCGCACCTCAATGGCATTTCATAAACTTTCTCAAACTCCATAAAAATGAAAACAAAACGGGCACAATTTGTTTGATTTAGTTTAAAAATGGTGGTAAACGACGTGCAAAACGTCACTGCCCCCTCCCCTTTCGTTTCCAAAATCTTCCCAACTTTTTTTCCCAGGCCGTATTTCCTGCGTTCAGAGTAGATCCAGTTAGGAGGCTCTGGTTATTTGGAAGACAGGCTAGATTTCCTCTCTTCTCATTCCCCAAGGAGCCAAGTCCTACAAAGTCTCCAGAGAAGAGAAGTAAAATCCAATTGAACGCACCTCTCGCACTGTCGAGGCTGTAGGCCTATTATTAAAGATATCTCCAGCACTTTGGCAGCTCCTTTGGTCTTGGCAGCACTAGTTTTTGCTGGCATGTATGAGTCCAACAAACACAAGACTGTGCGCTTTGGCTGTAGTGCGTCCTCTTCCGTCCGCCTCTGGTTGACTCCCTTTCGCCCGATACAACTTAGAGGGATTTGGGGGAACACACAGGAGCAGAAGCTCCTGGGTTTAGTGACTGTCCCTCCGTGTTATCCGAGTAAAATGCCTCCACGGCTGGGTCTGCTACCATCGCCGTGCTCGGTCGGAAATCCTCCCCCAGCTGTTGTGGTGCTGGGACAAAGTGTCAAGCTTTCGTCTCTTAGGTCAAATATGGCTTCCGGTTTGGGTTTTCACGGTTATTAAGGCAGACTGAAAAATATATAGGCTAGCTTAGCCTTTTTATCTGTTCAACATTTTTCGTCACAATTTTAACGTGATTTGTCAATGGATAAAACGGTATAGGTAGAAGTCAGAAGATAAAAGGCATGTGGCTTTCTAAATATCCAGTTAATGTAGGCTTATAGGCTACACTTGCATATCTTAATTCTTATTTTAGCCAAAGTAGGCAAAGTTATGTAAGTTCAATAAAAGTAGGCTAATAGTTGTAGGTAATTTTCTTTTATAGGCCTAAGTGTAAGACGTAAAATCTTGCTTACAGATAGGCCTAAGATGAAATTGTGAAATATCATATATTTAAAATATTGCCTATAGCCAGAATATAAATCCACAAATTTACCAGAAAAGTTCTAATTAGTTGTCAGCTGCTACACAACACCTGAGCACCGAAAATGATGCCTTTACTTTGAAATACAATTTCCTACCAGCATTGACTTATCAAGCCAATTAACTTATGAGCGTCAAGCCACTGTAGGCATGTACATCCTCGCCTGTAAATTGAATTTGACTACTTTAACTATTTGATCATATATATATATATATATATATATATATATATATATATATATATATATATATATATATATATATATATATATATATATATATATATATATATATATAATGTATTTATTTATATTTTACTGCATGTAAGTTCGCGCTGTCGGTCTACTAGTGCACTGCGGAGATGGATGGGATTTTTAGGTGACCCACAGCACACAGAAGACAGGCACGTGAAAATCATCATATTTTATTGTGCAGTGTTGATCATTTATCCTTCTCTCGAATGTGTGCTATGCTTTATGGCGCGTGTGTGGAGTTTGCATGTCCGTACACGCGCACTCACTCAAGTTGAAGGGCTTACAAGAGAGGCCTGTTTATTGAGCTGATAAAGCCAGACACTGATAAGTTTGTGTTCGTAGACTCGGGAGCTACGCCTCTGTCTCTGCAATCACAGTTTACACACAAGTCTACTGCAAACATCTTCTTATGTATTTTTATGGAGACGTGTGTTGCAGTGTGTACTTTGTGCATCCATTAGTCTACCTCCTTCACGTAGGGCCAGGTTTGTCTTTCATTTAATTAAATGAGTTGTGCACGCCCGGTCGTTATGTTGCCAATAATACAAACACAAAATGCCTTAATGATAGTTGTATCTTTAATCAACTGATGAGGTCTGTTCTTTTTAATTAACTCATAATTCAGACAATAAATAGATCTACTTTGTAATTTGTTGCTTTCCTATGAGTATAGCCCTAATAATATTGAAAAATAGATAAAACATTGACAACATGCCTCAACAACAAATATTAAAAATATTGAAATTGTTATTAGTTTAGACTTGGGATTACATTAATGACACGTTAATGACATCGTTATGACCCTCGAAAATCCTGTTAATAAAATGATCCAAGGCGCCACCTGGTGGCTACTTTGTGCATGCAAAGCGGTCCACCTAAGTGAAACCAAGAAAGGGTCCCATCTGTATCATCAGTTAAATGAGTAATTACTTAGTTATAAAACTGATATATTGGCAGGATATTAAATAATTCTAGTATAATTTTAAAAATGAAATTATATTAAAATAATAATCACAAACTCACTAGATCTGGTTCCTGTTTACTCAAAAGAAAAGTTTAAAATAACAAAATAATTAAATAACACTTAAGTGTTATTATTTGCATTGGAAATTTTGTACGGATCTGCTGCTCGCTTTTACAGTGATTTTGTGACAAAATAATTTGTCTAAAATGTTGATATAACAAAAATCACAATGCATAATGATTCAACCACAAATAACACATGAAAACCTTCCATATGACCAAGCACAAATACAATGTCCACTACAATATTAAGCAGATTTGCTTAATGGAAATATTAACACCCTCATACTCAAACAAATGTACAGAACATAAAACTCCAAAGTGGTGCCATTTTCACTCAACAGGAGTGACAGAAATTGTACAAACAGACTGAACAATTACAGTTTCATAACCAAGAGACAGTTTCTATTTCATTCACATTTTATATTTTTATGAAGTCTAGCTGTGTTTAAGTTTAAGAGTAAAATTTTACTATAAAGTAAAGTGTGGATGAATAAAGTTTGTCTATATCTAAAATATTTAATATGCTTTGTCAACTTTTAGTTATGTGTAAAATGTGCCACTGACTGAAAAGGAGTGCAGCTAAATTTTTATGTCAAGATTGTCCAATATTCTTCTTCTGTGACATGCTGATCACAGAGCATAGTTCCTCTCACTGTTTTCTCCACCGGTTTTTAGGTTTCTCCTCGCAGCTGGGACCCTTGCATGTCCCAGGAAAAGGTGGGGGCGGAGCTGGAGCATTTTTTGGAGGGGGTGGCGTATCAGGGGTGGTATTGATGCTGCTGAGGAGAGCTGGGAGATCATGTGAGATGGCCTTCTCCAGTTTGTCCAGCAAACACCCACCGCTCCAGCTGCAGTGGTATGACAGCTGCTTAAAGTTGGCCATTGGATTCACACCGAAGAAGTCCTCATAAGCCTCCTTGTCAGGTAAGTCAAATTTACTGATGTTGGTCTTGGCCAGAATAGACTTGAAGATGTAATACTTATCTGGATCGCTCACAATGTCATGTAAAACCTCATAAGGGTCACTGAACCAGCCCAGTTTGTCATAGTAGGTCTGAAGGTAGCGGTCCACCAGCAGAGCGTGAATGCGAACTCTGATACCATGCTGACGGATGAAGGCTATTTTGTTCTCCAGTTGGTTTTCAATGACCTGCAGACATAAGAAAATCATATAAGGAGACAACCAAAGAACATAATATGGCGTTATGTAAATAGATTGTATTCACATTCTACAATTTGATGATAGTTATAACTTCAGATGGAGGGCAGGGGCCGAGGGTGATTTATGTTTTTTGAAAGAAACATCCAATCTACATAAAATATCACATAAATAGGCCCAGTAATTACAATGATATTCACGATCAACAAATCTGCATTTAAACAGTTGAACAGCAAAATCTACCATAGAATTCTGACCTACTGGGATTATAGAATACTGAAGGCAGTCTTTTCATCAGCTTCCACCTCTTACTAATCACTATGGCAACAATCATTATTTTTTATTTGTTTGTGTAATCTCTCAGTCATCCAGGTAGGATTCATTGCAAAGGAGAAATAAAATTCTGTTAACTATATAAAAGTTTTTGATAGAATATGTTTCATAAGTCATCTAAGCTGCTTCTTCAGTTCTGGTCAAATTGCTGATGGACACTGCCTGAAGGGAGGAGCTAACTACATTGAAACTACTCTGAAACTAACACACCTACTTGTTTGCAGTTGCTTTTTGTTAGCTTGGTTTATTGAATTGCACTAAGTGTGAACCGTGTCTGAGTCATATTCATATAATTGTTCAGGCTCATGCTATTATTTTTTCATTGTTCTGAAACAATCATTGTTCCATGGATAGAGCTCATAACACTGCACCTGATTGAGGTCATCAAGTAGAGAGATCTCCTCCTTCATGAACAGGTCTCGGCTGGTGTCCCCAGTGTAGTCCAGGGGCCAGAAGGAGCTGACATAGACCCGGGGAGGTTCAGTCACATTGACCAGAGGAGCCATACTCCAAAATAGAGCCCCATACACCCTCATTAGGTCCTGGGTGGACACTGTGTCAGCCTTGTTTAGAATCAGACGCAGCTGGGACTCTCTGCCCTTCATCTGCCTGAAGAGCATCTCCAGCTCTCCACCCACATCCAGTTTTGTGGGGTCAAACACCAGGAAGATCAAATCGGCACGATCTATGAACCACTGGCATACTTCATTGTAGGGGTAACCTGGAGACAAGAATTTATATAAGCTAAGCAAAAATGTACATCAGTTACCCAGTTAAAGCCCAACGGTGTGCATTTTGAAGCTTTGGTGTGATATTCTACATGCAATTAAACAAAGTGGAAGAACTGAAATAAATGAATAAAATAAAATAAACCAAATCTGAAAGAATTACAGTCAAACGGCAAATTTCTCCATAGAATTCTGTCCTTCAGCTCAGTAAAATTTGAAACTATTATAAGCATTATAAAATGTTGTATTAAACTTGGATGCAACCTTTTACATCTGCTGTGTCCACTGTTATTGTTACCTCTCTCTTGCTGTTTCCGGTTTTCAATGATCCCAGGCGTGTCTACCAGGGTGACTCTTTCCAGAAGTTTGTGGGGCATCTCGATTCCCACTAACCGTTCCAAAAATCCCTGTCCAAACTTTTCCAGGGGTGAGAACGACCGGGAGCTATCTGCTGCCATGACGATACCCTCAACAGTGCGGAACTTTTCACCATGCATGATGACTGTGTACTCTGATGTGGTAGGCTCAGCTCCTATGAAATGGATTAAAAAAAAACAAAAAACATACAATTTTGAATGGTGAATTAAAGGGTGTATGTCTGTCTATTTTGTCTTTTGTTCACCTGTGTAGAGCTCCTGTGAGGTGCCATGAAGACCAAGCAGATAATTGATCATTGACGACTTTCCAACGCTCCACGGTCCCAGGAAGAGAATCATGGGCTTTGAGGTAATTTCACCATCTGTAGATAATAATGCAATATTGTGTAGATACAGTACATTTTACATTTTAGAGTGATTTTAAAACAATATGTATAACTGTTCATAGGATATTGTCTTAAATACAAAAAAAAAAATATATAGAAATATGGGTCTTGGAGTATAAGACATTTAAATATGAAATTAAATGACAATGAAAGTACAATGAATAATATTTTTGGCTGAAAGTTGAAAAACTCTCAAAATAATTCATGAATTAACTTTAATAATATGCCTACAGTCTCAAGTCACTGTCACAAGGTCTGTCACATTAACACATTTTTAAGTACGAGTACATTGCTGAAATATACAGATGGTAGATATTTAAACCAATTTATGACAATGACACAAAAACCCAAGAGCAGATTTAAACCACATAAACTGTTAAAAATGTATAGTATTGTTAAAAATCATGAGTTACACAAAATAACATAATGAAACACTTGAGAACTTTGTTTTCATCTGTAAATAGTCATAGTTATTAATACAGTATATATAAAATATAAGGTGTTAATTCAATCTTTTACAGCTCAAATCTTATTGTACTGACAAAAGAAAAAGTACCCCCAATAACACAAATGTTGACCCCCAAAAATATTGTTCCAGCTTTCATATATTGAACAATAAGTCATTATTGTGACAGGCTTACACTTGAGCTTGTTCTTTCATTTTATACCAGCAGAGGTCCCAAAGCCTCATGGGTATGACTGCTTTCTTCTGCTTCATGCACTCCAAATCATGATCACCAATTCTGTTTATTTATTTTGGGCCTGTTTCAGTAATCTCAAAATGGTACCGGTGCTATATAAACTGTCAACAACTTGTCAGAATACCACATACAGTATATAGCTGAATAGTTATTGTTGAACTGTATGCATTCATGTACCTGTAACTTCATATTGCCTCAACTCATTGTATTTGTAAGCATCTTCCATGGGTTTGATGGCTGTGTGGTAGATGTCCAACAACTTCTTCTGCGCAGCTAAAGAAAATAGAAGAGGAGGATTGAACATTCTGGCAAACAATGGGGAAAAAAATGGGGTCAGTATAATGTTAATGTCCTTGCTACCTATTCTGATAATACTTTGACATGAATCAATCTCATTAGGTTTGATTAATTAAGCCAAGCTAATTAAGACTCTGGAAATTCTGCAATGTTTAGTCTGTAACAAAACAAACCATTCCACATGAGGAGAACAGAGGGTCTTTCATACAATGGAATAACACAGTGGTACATTTGTACTGATTAATCACCTGTCTAAAGACAGACACACACGCACACACAGCCCCAGGATCTCCACATCAGGAAGCAATTTTGTGAATACTTTTAGCACACACAGTGTACAACATGAACTTCTCCTCATTTAAATGTGTGTGGTTTCTTTCAGTTAGTACTATTATTAAAAGAGTAATAATATGCTTTTTACTCCATCACTTTCAGTGACTGGTACTCCTTTATTGCTCTTTTAGTTAGAGTACCAGTTGCAGCATCAGTAGCATAATCATTGGTTTTCTCAAGGACAGATTTTGAGGATTTTTTGCAATAGGCCCCCAAATCTAATTCTTGAAAAGGATACGTCTAACATTCTTGCAAGGAATGATTTAAGATAAACTGTGTATAATTGTTGTACCACTACTGTGTGTACTATTGTGCTGTGTTACATAACACTTCAATCGTCATGGCAGTTGAACAGATATTATTTTACATTTACTTACCTGTGAACTCAGCTGATAGCTCAGCTGTATTCAGACGTAGTGTCTCCTCGATGTGGGTCCGGTCCCTCATTGTTGGACCTGCTAAATTTTGAAAAATAAATAAATTAATAAAAATATATATATATATATATATATATAAAATATAATATATAAATATATATATATATATATATATATATATATATATATATATATATATATATATATATATATATATATATATATATATATATATACATACACCTTTGAATTCAGTGGTACAATAATACAAACATCCACAAAGCTAGCATAAATGCTTCATTAAACTTTAAAGCATTTAATGTCTCACTGTGTTTACTAGAATCCTCAGGTGATTTATACCTAACGTGGCGGCTGCACTAAGTTTCTTTTCATTTCATCAAAAAATAATGAATCTGATCCACATTAACAGTCTGTATTTTATTATGTTCTTCTCTTGGTAATTTAATAAATGAATATAAATGGATTTACCACAGACAAGCATACAGCTACAGCAGCAGTTGATTTTTGTCTTAATGTGTGTTGGTAGGGTCATCTGTCTCTGCCCCTCCCCCAGCAAAGGGCAAAGTTGCTCTGAATAGCTTGGCCATTTGGTCCAACTGTTATATCACGCTGTTGCCCATCTATCAGTCTATCCCGTTCCTCTGCTATTTCAGTCCTTTTATTTTTGTACCACACAGTCTTGCTAATTCCCCTTTAGCTACTCATATTGTAACCAGCCTGCAATAAACATTACAAGACTCCATAGTGAGAAACTGTGAGAAATTGTCTATCACTAAGTCTAATAAATTTAATTAAAATGTAAAATGTATAGTCTTCAATTGGGTAGCTAAAAAAGCTAATTTGCACTCGGCGTTAAAAGAATCCCTGTATATTCTGTGTGTGTGTGTGTGTGTGTGTGTGTGTGTGCGTGTGCCAGTGTGTGTGTGTGTGTGTGTGTGTATATATATATATATATATATATATACACACACACACACACATATATATATGATTTTAAAATCTTTGTTGAAAACACATTCGTATGCACTGGCTTTTAACACAGTCTGAGCAGAACATTTGGACTGTATACTTGTTTTACTTATTCTGTGTATTAGAGTAGAATTTATATTGCCTTTGGGCAGCAATGGTTGTTTTTAAATATGCTTTATAAATAAACTTGACCTGACTAGCACATTTTAAAATTTCTCTCTCTATTTCATGCCATTGAAAAAATTATTGGGCTTCCATAACCAGACCCTACATTTTAGTTTTAAATTGTAATATATTATAAATATAGCTAAAATATTATGGGTGATATTCTATTGCTTTACTTACTGCATATATTAGGCTTCCAGCACATGATTGTAGGAGCCATGATCAGAGGAGACTTGAGAAACTTTTGGCCTTAGTCTTTTATAGCCTGTGTCAACACCTAGACTGTACATAATGGCATGCCTCCTCCCTAATTACAGAAGGAGCAAGGGCATAGGGCAGATTGACTGTAACTGGAGCTTGGTAACACATAAGCCGTAAGTGAAAGTGAGTAGACTCAAGTTACTTCAGTCATGCATTTTCACTATTAATACCCATCAACAGACTAGACTTTGTAACAGTTCATTATTTACCTTTTGCTTTAGGCAGTGTTGGCTTCTCTTCTCTCACTTCCTCAACAATAGCATCTGCAATAGTTTCCTCATGTTGCACTGGGAAGTCTGTGGTGACCTCAATTGCAGGCTCTGGTTCTGTTTCTGGATTGACTGGGTCTAACTCAGAATGGATCTCCTCTTCCTCCAATCCGGGAGAATCAGCAGTTTGCTCGGATTCCAATATGACCTCCTCCTCTGTAGCTCCTTCTTCAGTTGTGTCCTCCTCATTTAGATCCTGGGGTGTGTCTTCTTCTGTGTTAGCTCTATCCTGGACTGCGTCCTCAATTTCTGGGGCAATTACAGACTCAATCATGGCTTCTTCAGCTTCTTTGTCCTCTGCAGTTTCAATTTCAACCTGTTCCTCATCAACTTCTGATGCTGTAGTGGCAACTGCTTCATCTTCTGTTATCTACAAAAGGCGATATTCTGCTGTCAAAATATGTTTCTAAATACAGTTAGTGATGTCTCAGGGATGACACTGTGTGCTATGGAATTAAACAATATATCCAAAAAACAGATTATCTTGTACCTTCTGGGGCATCTATGGGGGTATGTTATATAAGTAGTAAAAATGTCAAAATAGCTCTAGTGAAAAATGTTGTTGTGTCCTTGGTCAAGACACTTCACCCACATTGTCATGTGTGCATGAGTGATTGGTGGTGTTTGGGGGGACTTTGGGGGGTTTATAAGCATTATTATTACACCTGAAAGCTACCAACTTTGCCACATCTGTGGAACAGATGTCTGTGTGCACACTTGACATTTATGGATCCAGACTTGTAGGATAAATTACTACAAACATCCAGTTATAATGCACTTACTTCTGTTGGCTCTTCCTGGTCCTCCTCTGTTACTTCCTCCTGGTGTTTTTCTTCCGCAGCCTCTACATCCTTCTCAACAGCAACCTCCCCCATGTCTGTTCCCTCTGTTTCCTCTTGTGTTTCTTCATCCTCACTTGGTACCTCCCCAGCAATAGAATCTACTTCGCCTTGATCTATTTCATCCTCTCCTTCAATGACAGCATCCTCCTCTTCATCTGTGGCGATAACCTCTTCACTAACTGTTTCTTCTTCTTCTTCTTCTTCTACTTCTTCTTCTTCTTCTTCTTCTTCTTCTTCTTCTTCTTCACTAGACTCTTCTTCACTGTTTTCCTCTGCTGTGTTTGATTCTTCTTGTTCTTTCTCTGCAGCCCCCTCCTCAATGGAATCTACGAATTCTTCATCATTATTTTCTTCTGCTATATCTATTACTTCTTCTTGTGCTAGAGCATCTCCATCCTTGCCATTTACCTCGGCTGTATCCACTTCCTCATCAGGTATTTCCTCATCTTCTTCAGTCTGTGCCTCAGTGGTATTTTCTATTTCTTCTTCCTGATTTTCTTCTTCAGCCTCTTCTTCACTGGTTTCATCTTCAGTGAAAGCTATTAGAATGTCTTCTTCTACTTCATTTGTAATCTCCTCCACCTTTTCATCAATCTCTTCTTCTACCTCTTCTTCTGTTTCTTGTAGTTGTTCAGTTTCCTCTTCAGCAGTAACCTCTTCGTGTTCTTCTTCTGCACCATTAAATAATGCTGCATCTTCCATGTCTTCATCTGAGACTTCCTCCTCCAGAATCAGTTTTTCTGCCTGTTCATCACTGGGCACTGTCTCCTCTTTGCTCACTTCATCCTGACTAGACTGATCTCCATTTTGCTGTGTTTCTTCATCCGTACCTTGCTCAGTGTCAGAGGGGATTGGTGGGTTGCAGGGGGGACACAGTGGTCTGTCTGGGGCTGGTGTGTCATTGGATGAACTCTGGGTTGTGTGGTCGTCTGATGCGTCGCATTCACAGGGGAAAATGTCAGTGCCGTCAGGCTGTTGGAGCTGCAGTGGTACTAGAGGTTCATCGTCAGGGACAGAGGGATCCGCCAACAGACCTGGAAGAGAAAAAAAAAAAACTTTGAGTGACTAAAATGCAGTAGAGTCATTTTTTTTTTGTTGAAAATAAAACTCCTCTAAATAGTCTAGACATCATCTGTGTACACGGCTGCAACAATTATTCAAAATTGTGACAAATGTAATGTGAGTAATTGTCGACTATAGAAAATTTTTTAATAATATTTTATTAATAATTGCAACTGTTAACTGGACTAAAAAGAACACACACCACGTTTTTGCATTTTATGTTTTGAATTTTCATCAGTAATAAATTGTAATCTCTATTTTGAAGGTTTCAGTCGCCATATGTCAACCTTTAATTTGTTAAAAATGAATTGAAAATATCTTTATGTACAAAACAAGCAAGACTGATGTGAAGCATGTGGTAAAATAAGTTCAGTGAAAATAGCTAGCGACAAATCCAGCTTTAATGCAATGTTGTAAACTGAGAAGAGTGTTTATTATAGAAACTGCTGCTGTTGTGTTACATCCAATCATAATACATATAATATGTTCATATTTAACAGTAATCCTGGTAAAAAAAAAAAAGAATAATAATAATAAATAAATAAATAATCTGCAAATCTAAAGGCTGTCATGTTTAAGATAAAACTTGATACAGCCTTTGACATTAAGAGGCAAAGATAAAATGTACTGGTAATTGAGTGAAATGAATAAGACAGGAATTAGCGTGTGGTAATATGATGAGGGGCTGTACTGATCTGGACACTGTGGTTTGGATGTGTCCCAAGTACATACATTGTTACAACCCATTGTACATTCACTATTGAGCCTGAGACTGAATGAATGCCTCACTACTACCATTACTGTCATTAGAGATATTTTAAACTGCTATAAAGACTAAAGGAAACACATTGCATACATTTATGTTGGGATTAATGAGATTATGTAAGATTAATGTTCCTTTCTTGTAGATGGGCCACCCATTGCTGCAGTGCAGTGGGACAGAGAGGGACAGGTGCCTGTTACAGTGCTACCTCAAAGAGACAGAAATAGCCCCACAATGAGTCAGAGGGCGAAAAGACGAAGGGATAATTCCACTCCTATTTTCAGGAAGTATGACGCTCCCTCTTCCCTGATTGTCATGGCGCTCTGTGTGTGAATTACAAATAGATTATTGCAATAGTGTATGTAGCATGCAGCAAAGACCTGCATCAGCCTTAAGTTTGAGTTAAGATAAAGTACTCTGTATCTAGTCAGTAATAAAGTTATTATAATACATAATCATATAACATTTCACAAATATTGTACTGCACAGACCAAGACCTAGGCCTAATAATGAATAGGAATTTGTTGCACATTACAAGCCTTCTGTTGCTCTAAATTCTTTATCAGCACAAAAATTAAAACACAAGAGATGACTGCATGAAGATGGTAGGGTGTGAAGGGTAATAAAACTACAGTAAAATTAATCATAGTAAGAATTAGAAATAGTAGGCTTCATCAATTAGTCCAGCTGAAGATCACTGGACCATTCTTTGGTTCCACTAGGTGGTAGTAGACCACTGCTAGCAACTTTAACTGGTACAGAATGTAAATGGAATTTGCATTTTTAAACAGCTGTAATATACAGGAAAATTTATTTACTTACTTTTATGATAAGAGAATGTGTTTATACAATTATTTTTCAGAATCGACACATCAGACAATGGCCAAAGCTTCATAGGAAAAGTGTTTTCATGTTGCCATTTCAGCTCCATGATTCGCTTATCAAAAGTTTTAAATAGTCCTCGATTATCTTCTTATGTAACCACAGTTGCTGTGCTACTGGACCCAGTTCGGCCTGTCCTCTGCAGCGCTCCCCTGTGTCCTGTTATAGTTGGGACACCCCCTGTACACGGAGCTTGCTTACTGGGATCACACATCAGAGAGCCTGCACATACCTACTAAAACCTTTGCCAAAGACTTTTGTTAAATGCAGCACTACATCAATACATGTGCTTTAAATGTGTATGAACCTAATTTGACTTGGGGAAAACCATCACTATTATTTTATGGGACAAACAGACTTACACAAGGGCACACAAGGTTAATTATGCCTTTTCCTCCTAATTCAAACCTGAGGCAATAATTGTAAGAGTAACCTTTCAAGACTTTTTTCTTTATTTATTTTTTTTACATTTAAATTGCTGACAGCTGAAATAACACACAACAGTTGATGTTAGTTGATACTTTTCTGCTGGTGCCATGACGGGGGATGTGTGGAGACCCCAGCAAGAATAAGCAGTTCTGTCAGCTGCTATCACACCTCAGCATTGACTCTACATATTCACAGGTTTCAGCTTCGTGTTACATGCAACATTGATGACTTTTTCACATTAAAAATAAATATAATATTGTGTTTTAAAATGTTAATCACTATAGTAACAGCTATGGTAAAGCATAAAAAAATTTAACTCATAGATAGAAGCAAGCAGTTTTTTCTGGGAAATATACAAGTATTAGATTAGAGCTGTTATAAGTGTAGTATTTGCATTGAGTAGTAGTGATAGTACCAGTAGTGAGCATTATTCTGCAAGTGTTTGTAGCATTCAGTCCTAAATCAATGAAAGAAGGACCAATACAAACAGTATATATGAATATTTCCACATTTCAGTTGTGAAAATCCCATGTTTCATTCATAGTGTATCATCATACCTGTTGCAGAGAAGAGCAGTAGACTGAGCAGAAGGCAGCACCGAGACATGGCAGACTTCATTTTGGCTGCCAGGGGCCTTCTTCTACTCTGCCCGCGCTATATATACAGGAGTGTGAAGACAGGGGTCATATGAGCAGGGGCGGGACACCAGACCCCATTTGTGCCACTGTGTCAGCTGCTCAGACTAAGAGCATCGAGCAACACAGAGCAAGTATAATCTCTAAATCTCCATATTTTGAGTCACCATTGGTACCACTATTGTCATCTTTCATTATTCAAACTTCTGCAGCTGCACATGTCTTTGATGACTACACACAACACACTGTATTTGATTGTACTGGTATTTATCAAAGACACAACATAATCACTTACCTGAAGACCAAATGGGCATAGCATTTGCATGGCATCCAAAGTTAACAGGCCAATAAACAGACACAGGGTCTAATAAAAAAGTACAAATTTTATTTTATTTTTTTCAATTTTACAAAAGTGAGTTTACCCAATTTTAATAAACAAAAATATAACAGTTTCTTGTCATCCTGGACAAAATAAAGAAACAAAATGCTTGTCACCAAAACACAAATTAGACAGACAATGATAACCACAATAAAGGTGTTAAAACGTGTCACAGCAAAAAGCTTACAAAAATACATGGACAAATTCACTTTTGACCGTTGATTCAGGCAGTACAGAACAGCAAGTGCTTCATATCCAAGTTCATTTATGACAGCAGTTCTGCAAACATGTCAATAATGAAGAAGAAATACTCAAGTGACCAATCAGAAAAACAACATAATAGACTGGCATTGGTCAGTAAACTAGACCACTTTAAGCAAAGCTTCACAAACATCAGAAAAGAAAAAGCCTACAAAACCCAATGCAAGTGTCAAGAATTCTCACACCAAAGTCTTGATCACAAAAAAAATTAGCAGTAAGACAAAATAACAAAAGGCCGCTTTTAGCAACATGCGTTCAATTAGAAAACATAAAAAATCAGAGGTCTAACTCCAAATCAATGGAATGTTTACAGCATTAAGAAACTGAGGAGCGGGGCACGGTTTTCCAGTCAAATTTCTGTGACAAGCAAAACAACATGAGATGGACAAACTGGGCACATTCAGAAATAAACCCACAGAAGAGATCTATAGTGCAGTGCTTGATGTCAACTTCTTAAAAACAAATTGAAGCTTGGTCAGAAGTTACATTACAATGACAAATGCAGCTGGGTCTTTTAACTATTTGAAGAGTGGTCCAACTTTTGGTTTTATATACGTTTACCAATCTTATTCAAGCAGCAGTTATGTTATTTGTATGGTCATAAAGTGCTGAATCTCTACTTTAATTTGTGTGCATCTACAATCCACAGTGGAGGAATTCAAGTTATGTTTTTTATAATTAAGCAGTCTGTATTTCAGGACATCAAAAGGACATACTGGACATTTAAGAAATCTGTCAGAGAAGAGCACCCAGTTCTTCAGGCAGACATTGCCAACTAAGGATTTAAAATGACAATTTTAGATATACCTTACTTGCTTAGTTATTTGATGAACCCCTGAAATGTGATGACAGGCAAGAAAATTGATACTATACCGTAAAATGTTCATTTTAAACACTTTGAGGCAGCTTCAAAAACCTTTCCTCCAATTTGAACAAAAATACCCTCAAATTAAAGCTGTCAAGATGCACATATCAGTAACACCACTGCATGCACAATAAGTTCAAATATACAGATAAAACTTGGGCCACTGTCCAGATATTTATAGACCCAACTGAAGGGTACAGTAGTCATGATGGGCCTTGAAGTGCCAAACTCCAAGTTGGTAAAAAGCACCGTTTAAACTTTACTGTATCCCTATTTCAGCCTACATTCTTCAGCATTATGATGTCAAGTTTCATGAGAACATTGTAGGTATGCACGCCTACCTATGGTGCATAGTTTTCTTCAAACATAAATTACTCCAACAAACATAATGCAGATCCAAATGCATAAATACAAGACGGTTTAGTGCATAGTCACTAAAGAAAATTAAGACCAAATTTTGTTGGAAACAGAACTCTACATGCAAACAGTATCTATCAAACATATATAACCGGACAAGTCTGCAACATTGTCTCTCCTTGTAAAACATCACAAAGCTAGATGACCACTAATTTGTCAAATTTTATAGCTTTCAGAATTCACAAAATCAAATAAACCAGTTGCTTAATAGCTTATTTTAAGAGCTTCCTTGATTTCACCATTTAAAGTAAGTATTTATTCATCAATAGAAATAAATCTGATCTCAATGGGCCCATTAGTATCTGAAGTTATGTCAGTTTTTAGCACCAGACAGTAAAAAAATATTGTTAAAAATATTATTTTAAATGAGATAATATCGCCTTCTTCATGGGTAAGTACATTCAAACTATATTTTAGTGACATTGTAAAATAATACTGTCGGTGTTCCATATCCTTATGTAACATGTTCATGAACTGATTTTTTTTTTTTTATGAATCTGGTTGATGGAAATAAATGGCATTCTCTTGATATTTGTAAGGTTATTCTACTTTTATATTTTGCACATTGCAGAACCACATGACAAAGGTGAACTTACTGGAGTTTGGTTAATGCCAAAGAAATTTGTTTTTCAAATGTAGTTGACCTTCAAAGGCCCTCTTGCAGTGAATCAGTATTAAGTGTTTGGTAGTTAAGTTCAATGGACAAACCGCTCAGTTCATTGAGCAGTCCTCTCCCTCGGTGTCTGTGTCCGTCTCTGAACATGTGGCATCCAAAGCAACATGACTGGGGCTAACAATAACAGCCCGCCGCTGCTCCTCTTCTGCACTGGCTCTCCTCTCCTGAGTGCGTTCAATATGTTGGATAGCCTAAAAACAACAAACAAAACATGAGTGTGCTGAAGTTTCAAGGAGATAGGTTTTCAGCAGGACTCAATGAGAATGGGATCATACCTGGACTATGGTGTCGAGGTTCTGTCTGGACGTGGACACAGTGCTGGTGTGGCCGGCCGAACTCATTGTTACCACGGTGACATGATGGGGCTGAGTTAGTGTCGGGGCCGGGACAATCACTGTGGGGTGATGCGTTGGGGCGGGAGGGGCTGAAGGAGCACGCACCTGAGGGAACATATGTGCAAAATGAGCACATACAGCGCTTAATCTTGGTAGAGTTTAGGATAACATTGTATATTCAACAACTGATTCTTAAATTGGTTCTGTTAAGACAATGTGTCATGGCAATAAAAGGCTAGCACAGAGCACGTTCATAGCTGAGGTAAAGCACCAGGAGGAACCAAACTCTACACAGAAAGGCCAAACATATTCTGGGACCTTTGCCCCATTTCACAAAGCAGGTTGAACTAACACTGGGCTTAGTCCTAACCCATAGTTATCATACTCAGACAGAGCCAACTCTAAACCTGTTTTCTGAAATGAGAACTCAGAGTAGAATCCTAGAAATCCAGAGGAGGGTTCCATATCGGAATGACAGGAAGTCACGTGACAGTGGAAAGGTTAAATTTAGGTTTGATATTAAAATGGGGTGTTAAAAAAAAACGACTTTAACAAATACTTAGTATGATGCATATATGCAATATTGTTTCACATGCAACTCATTAAATACCCTTTTAAAACTTTAAATCATTTTACACACCATGACTTAGTCTGATTTTAGTGCAAGGCCCTCCAACTGGCCAATTAACTGATAGAATTGCTTGATATCAAGTTGATAATTTCTTACATTGGCATGTTCAAAGTTATCATAAAAGAAGTGAGCTGTTACGTTATAAACAGCAAACTGAAACAAAAATGTATAAAAGTGGAACATCAACTCAGGGTTTAGGTTAACAGTGAAACTCTGAGTTGACCTCTTTTCTGGGTTAACAAACCCTGAGTTTGGATAATATCTGCTTGTTAAAGCAGAGTATTTCAAGATGTGAGAAAGAAGTGCAAACCACTATGCCACAGCTTAACAACCTTTACTTGCATCTACCTCATTTAATGGGTCCATTATAACATACATATTTCTCATGACTTCTGTGATGCAAAGACCCAGACCACTGTCTATGCTGGACCTAAATAGCCTAGTTGTATTTGATGTTAGGATCTGCTGCTCTGACCTGTGCTGTCTGTCTGTCCAGTGCGTGGATTTGCTGCAGTCGTAGCAGAGTATGGCTCTGCAGCAGCGCCTGCTCCTCCTCCACCTGCTGTGTGATCACCTTCAGACGTTCCGGGTGCAGCTGCCCATCCAGGGTACGCACCTGTGCCACACATACACAGAGCTTATGAGTGACGGCCAAACACAATATGTCATTTCATGACAGGATCGCTAATGGGCAGACTACACAGTTAATTGCACAATGACACAAAAAGAAAACCCAACAGATAATTCGTTCCTCGGTCTAAACAAGCTCTACTGGTTTCTCAATACCGGTCTGTTGATAAAATGGTCTTGAGGACCAGAGACTCCTCTTTGTTTGAACCCGTTTGTCAGGCAGATTGAGCAGCCCTGTCACTGTCTGTTTCCTCCAGTCAACAGACCCCTCTTACAAACACAAGTCTTTGTCTAACCTGCTCCTCCAGTTGCATCCGGGCTGAGCGTTCTTTATCAAGCTGCTGTCGTAGATCCAGCATCTCTCTCCTCAGCTCATCCACTTTGTCCTCATCAAGTGTGTCTGGGGACCCAATGCCCTCATCCTTCTCTTCTGCTCTCTTTCTCTTTGGAGATGAACCGCTGAACTCCTACATGGCCACAGAGCATTAGAATTAAAAAACATAAGTGCATAAATGCAGTCAATGTGAGTATCTGTATAAAACATGACTTTACATGACTTAACATGACTATTTGCTTGAGATACTATAACACAACTGTTTACCAGTGAAGACATGCTTGGGTATGCCCTGAAAGAGTCTAACATAAGCATAGCACATGGCTCTGTAATACAAAGAAAATGGAACAAAGATATTGTTACCTGGATAAATCGTTTGAGCTGGTTGTTTTGAGCCAGGAGCTGTGTCTTTTCCTGCTCCAAAGTAAAAATATAATCTGCTGTCTGCTGTAGGATCGCCGCCTAATAAAGGATAAGAAATATACTGATTATGTCACTCTTCATTGTTCATCATAGCAGATTTGTTTCATTGAGATATTCTCACACCTTGCTCAGTTTCTCTCCATCTGCATGTGGTAACAGTGTTTTGAGGGAGTGAAATCCAGCATTGATGCTTTGCATTCGTCGTCGCTCATTGCTGTTCGCAATTTCCCGACGAATCCGTCTTTCTTGGTCCTGTGCGGTCTCTGGACTGAGGGGGATGTTGGCAAGGCTAAAAACAAAGTGGGAGTATTGGCATTATTTAGTATGAGAAAAGGCAATGCAATGTACAAGGTAAAGTCCCTTAACCTTTACCATGAGATTGAGGCATGCAGGGCAACCAGTCATAAAGGTCTTTGAGTTCATATGAACTCTGTGAGCTTTGCCATCACATGAAATCACCCAAAATTTTGCATGTCAATGCTCCTGTTGAGCCAGTCTAAGGGTTAAATATGGCACCATGTTTATATCATTTTTACATTTTTAAATTATTTGTCATTTTACCAAATGTCAAATAACTAAACTTAACCTTTAATGTCCACCATAAAGGAGACGTGACTTTCGTTCACAATCACATGACAGATTAGTCCACGTCATTCCATCAAAGCTTTACAAATGAATAAATAAGTTATAAAATGTGCACTGCACTTAAAATGTATGTGCATCACATTTCTTTTATCAGTGCTTATTTAATTAGCCGAATGCCATAAATAAAGCACTAAGGACGTATAATTATTCCAATAATTAATTTTAAATAGGATATCAGCAATATTTTAAAATACACCTTGATTACCACTTAGTATGACTACTGAGTAAAAACAAGACGTTTAGTGATGCAAATGCAGTAGAAAAAGTAAAGGTGAGAAGCTGCACGGGTTCCAAATGGTCGATGGGGGGCGCTTTGAACGCTGGAGCAGTGAAATGTGACACCAGCAACAACAGGGCCCTTGCCAAGGGTAGAACAATGCTTTCCCTCACTACCACGACTGAACGATATTAGAACTTATAAAGCCAATCCATGTTGATCATTTTAAACAGGTGCGTTAAAAACCATGTACTGATTAAAAGGGTGCGCCAAACAGACGCAAAAACAGCCCGAGTGTCATGACATGATGTGCGACGGTGGCTAACAGATGGCTAGCAAAGCTAAGCTAATTCCCGAGCACATGACACGGCAAATCGATAACTCCGTGCATTGTTTTGAGACTTCATCTTACAGACAAACTGTGATTTATGTTACCAATATAATAAATCACACATTTAAAAACTGAAAACCAAGAAAGGCGTGTAGTTGTGGTTAGTTGCCGTGGTGCGACGGAGAGCACGTTAACTACCACGTGGTTGTGGACCATAATGTGTCAGTTTCAACACAATGCAGACATTTCAGCTGTAATTAACTAAAGAGCATTTGCTGGCATCATTGCGTGGCTATAGAGTACACGTTTAGTCGAAAAGCCACGATAAAAGATCATACAGTAATTGCCAAATCTAACCAATGCCATTTTGACCACCCCATTTCCGACGCCAGAGTAGCTACTGTGCTAACATTACAAAACACGCATCCTTCGCCCACATGGACCACTACATTGCGAGCTTTTGTTTTGCCAATAGTCGCGATGCACGCACCTGCAAAGGCCTCCAATAACATCCTTCTCCGTTTTCTTGAAGTGTTGCAAGGACGGCATCTTTTCAGTCTGCATCATAAAATATTCCATGCTCCCGGAGCCACCTGATCAGCGCAATGTGTTTTCCTTTTTATCGCTTTGTTTGGGACAGAATAATGCAATCCGGGTGTTAAAGATCCAATGTAAGCATTTCTTCTTCCCAGCAAAAAATAACGTATCGTTTCGTTAAATTAAAGTAATTAAAGCAGTGTGCTGCCCACTACAGCTGATGGGGTTCCCTCCAATGCCCGTGTGTGGTTCGCTGCCTCCGCCTACTACTATGTGTGTGCGCAGCTGATCGCGGTGAGGCGGGAAACAGCTGGCTGAAATCAGACCTCCGTTCACTAGAAAACAACAAACAAAGAGGCGCTGCACAGGGAAAGCGATGTAACACAGGAACAATTTCAAACTAAATACATAAATAATAGGAACAGATACCTTTATTTTCTCATCATGCATTAAAAGCTTACATAAAAAATATATAACACATTGATAACATTAAGATACGATTAAAGTCTTCCCCATAGAATTTACAGGAACGTTAATAAATTAAGATATTATAGGTATTTAAATAGGCCCCATTTAATTAGTTCATTTATATATTTTAATACAGTTGTTTTATTTGGTTAATTATGGTGATTATTAATAACACAAATTGTACTCAAATACACAATTATGCCAGCTAAATGAATCATAAATTATTACATCATTTTCTCATTTCTGTATCGCATGTAGAGGAAGTGAAACATCCTTGACCCTTAAAAAGCAGCAAGTTCATACATTTCAAATAAATCACCACTTAATAAAAATAATAAAGTATATTGCAAAACACATAAGTTAGCAACCCCTTTTGATGGGATAATGAGTAGAGTAACATTTGATTTATTGTCCGTTATAGGAAATGCACCATTTAAACTCGCAAAAGCACACATGGCTTAGATCAAAACCAATATCAACCTGAAGTGTTTCTCTATTCAATATAAAAATACAGTAAATTGTACACCTAATTTGGTCCATATTGATCTGGATAAATGCAATATAATAAGTTTAAAAATACTAATGCAACCCCAAAAGACCCAGAGTATTTCATTCACTTTAGAAATACACTGATTATCAAAAATTCTTGATATACACATACAAAGCTTTTAAATGTGGAACCAGGAAGGATTCCACAAGTACCTGAATGTATGAGACAGCAAATATTTCTATGAAGCTGAAGGCTTGGTTTTCTTTGTGGCATTTTCTTCAACTGTAAATGTGTAGTTATACTAAATCAAAACAAAAATACAGTTAGTCAGTAAGAAACAACCAAAGAAGGTTGAATTGAGTTTTTTTTTTTTTTTTTTTACCTCATTTTCAATGTCCTGAATGGACTTTATACGAATGTTGTTTAATTGAGCGTTCAGGTTAGGACCCTGTGAAAAAGAAGAAAAAGAAGTGTATTTAAACCTAAACAAACAATACCACTATTTGCACTCATTTTGTGAAGATGAAGATAATTAACAAATACTTAAATACATGATTTGTTAAAAAAAAAAAAAAGCCATATCTTTGAGAAGTGTTGAATGAATGATAAATGTGTCTCTATTTTGATGCTATTTACTATGAACTCTTCATCAACATTATTCAGATTACCTGGTCATTTTCAAAAAGAACAACAGTTGACAAATCAACTGCATTAAAAATAATAAATAATTGCAGCTCTACTACATTCTGTGCCCATGTAAAAGCTGCATTTTAGCACAACAGGTAACAGGGTGATTAAGTAAAGATAAAACATACGTTGCCATTGGCTGGAACATCAAACTTTGGATGTAGACTGAAGGGGACTCCATCCAATGCTACCGAGAGACAGAAAAGTGAGTAATAGATTATGTGCTTCCTTCTTATACAGGTACACAATGTGAAAGAGAGAGAGGAAGATTCAGAGACACAAAAGGGAGAGGGGGGTACCTGTTATTCCCTGGAGGCTGCCGTCCACTGGTTTGTCGATCTCATCTTTCACATTGAGGTGGTGTCGTCTGTGACTCAGTCTTCCAGGAGGCAGCGGAGGGGGGTTACTATGATTCAGAAGGCAAACAGTTTTTGAATAAATAATCATATAACTTAATTTTTCTCTTATGAATTTAATATTGAACCTGGGTTTGAGAGGCAAAGGAGGAGCTGGTTGGTCTAGGGAGAGTTTTTGAATGTCTAGGCTGACTCTTCTAGGTTTGGCTTGGGGCACTGGGCATGAAAAAGGCCCTTTTTTGCACCACAAAACATAACCATGGACATCCCTGTAAAAAAAAATAAAAACAATAAAATGTATTAAAAATTAACACATGGGAGGTTGAGAAAACATATTGCTACCTACCCCACATATGTGTAGTGCTGTAACATCATTTTGCTTTTCGCGGTCAGTTTAATGTCCAAGACAGCTGTGTCCACACTGCCTATGGGGACAAGACGCACACAGACCCGCTTCTTCTTAGACACAGTGGCCTCTGATCATAGAGAAAAACAGAAAAATAGACAATATTATTAGAAATCCTTAGGTAAAAGTCCACAATTTAAGTACTAAGCACATTTTGTATTTAGTTGAATATTTTTATTGTACACTCACTTGGTTCAAGATGCTCTGCGATGTAACAGTACCCATGAGGAATTGAGTCCTTATCTGAAATAATTTGAACATCTGACACCACCATGCCACCAGTTAAATCCTGTAAAAGGAGAGTTAAAGTTGACACATACCATGCAGTAGTAATTTAATCAAACTATTTCTAATCTGAACATTTGGGAGATGACCTTGCTGTAACAAAGATAGTAGCCAGACTTCATTGCAAAGCTACGTGTAAAATTGGCCGCGGCTCCATCTTCTGTTAAGCTTATCTGCAAAATAAAATATAAATATACAAAAAACATGAAATGTACAATTTCTGAAGCAATTATAAAAAAGGTGAACATGTGAGAATATAGTAGACATATTTCTTCATCCACAATGGGATAAGCAATGAAGCAACTTTAAAGTCTACACACAGTCCACACTACTGTTTCTTATGTAAATGTGATGAGACATGTTTTATTTTTCCTGCCCCTGAGAATGATATCTGTTGTCGGCCATATCCAGAATAATATCTTGTATTTCATGCAATGATATCTGTATTATTTATCCTAATTACTGTTAAATGTGTTCTTACCAGTGTGAAATCTTTGGGACAAGTGCTGGTATTGGAAGTCCAGGCAACAGCTGTGACTGGTCGTACCTCTCTGTGTGGAATTACTAGGGACATCTGGGTAAAGAGAACAACAAAAAAGGTACTATGTAGTTCGCAATAAAAATAAAAAAAATAGCCATCATATCACAGCAGCCCTTTGGAGTAATACTGGTCTGGATGTGGGAGAAAGTAGGAAATACACACATTCCGAATCAGATAAGTTTAATTGCCATTGTCAATGAACCAAATTCACAAGCAAATTACCCCTACGGTGGATATGTGTTGAGCATTGTCCACAAAACAAGATCCTATTCATACTCGAGTTTATTTGGTTACCCTAGCCAACATTCCTAAGTGGGTTTTCAAATACACAATAAAACAAAAACACCTTAGACAGTTTTAAATGGTAGAAACATAAGGAAATGTATACATTACAAGGAAGCATCATGATAAATATATTATTTAACTGTGTGTGGATGATATTACGATACAAAAAGTTTAAACTAGGAAGAAATTGGTAGTCAAATAGAAGTTACGATGACAGGGCGAGCTTACAGTGTTGGCCACAATACATTTTCCACTTAAAAGCTTGACTTCGTTTTCTATCCTTCAGATGATCTATAATCTAACATTTTCCCGAATAAGATTTAACTCAGACTTACCTCGTTGGGTTGTCACGTCTTTGCCTTCGATGAGACACAAATATCCGAGCAGAACAACTTTAAACTTATGAACCCAAATAGTTAGCTTTTCCTCCTTTCGGCAGGAAGTATTGGAGCATTGAGAACTACGATTCCCATCATTCCAAGCAAGGTGAAGTCGTTGTAGTTCCATTTTTGATCACGCAGGGGCGATATTACACCGTCTGTTCAGATCTCTTCAAAATAAATAAATGGACCTAAAATAAGTAGATTCAAGACTGTTACAAAATAAATAAATAAATAAATAAATAAGCAGTCAATCTTGCCTTCCCCACTTTAAAAAGCACAAATATAAACGTAATCAACGTAACTGGAGAAGTGACAGTTTTGTTGTTGAAGGCTTAGCGGAAGTTGTTCTTCTGTAGCATTTTTAACTTAACATTTTTTTCACCAGCACCCTACGAAAAACTGAGCGGACAATAAAAACATTTATGGCCAGGTCCTTGGGGGAAACAGTATATTTGGACATTGAAACAAAAACATAACTTTACAATAATCGCGTGTTTGTTTGGTTGAAGTTATCATATGCGCGCGGACTGACGATACACAACCTGAAGAAGACGGAGAAGGTGGCGACATCAAATGATTTTCTAGCCATTGTCAAACATACCGCATTCATACTCTATTAAATAAGTTACTGCGCTGTTTTATTAACCTTTTATTACCACACTGGAGCTACAATTTAATTATTCCATATCCTTTTTGTAAAGCTGTCTTTATGATTATGTTTTAGGGCAGTAATTGCATACACTTTCAAGGTGCTTTTTTATATCACGAATGTTATAGTATATTCACACCGTTTTGTTGATCAACACGTGGGACCGATTTTTGTTTTAAAATAGATTATTATTCATATTTTAAGTATAAACTACATCTGACTTGGACTGAATTTTGAACCGTGATCTTGGCATTAAATGGATTAACATTGGCAGAATATGGGGTGTTGAGAAGCTCTAATTTTCTTTGTGACAATTACCCCTAGTGTCCACTCTGTCATAAATGCCATACTAAACACGATGTCTGGTCATAATGGACATTCTCATGAGGGTGTGAGCGACCATCATATCCCAGAGCAGCCACAGCGGGACATAGGAGAGCTCCTCCAGCAGATAATGGTCATCACTGAGGACAGCCTTGATGAGGCCCAAGCCAGGTACAAGCCTTAAAAGACCAGCTACCTTGAGACAGTCACATAAATGTCATTATATTAATAACTCAAACTATATCATAATAATAACAATGCATACATGACTATGTTAGAGTCATTATTCACATCTCTTGGTGGTGGTAATGGTCTTCTATAGCCCCAAGTGCCCTGGGTAGACTCATGGAAAGCGAGATTACCATTCTGCACCATCAGCCCTTCCAACTAGCACCAATCACTCATAAACACCACATTCATACATTGGCATGGTGGGTGAAGTGTCTTGCCCAAGGACATAACAAAAGTATGCACTTGTCCAAACTGAGATTGAGGCACTAATTATTGTCTCACTGCTGCCCATAAACGGTTACAGTTTACCACCACTGCTGCCACATGCTGTTTGTGTGTTTCATCAGATTTTTGAAGTGGAAGTTAAAGATTTTTTTGAGTCTCACTTTAATGTGTTTTCCACAGGAAACATGCATTAAACTGTCACAAACTGAAACCTGCTCTCTTCAGCGTCCTTTGTGAAATTAAAGACAAGACAGGTATGTTTTTATAAATTATAAATTGTTCTGAAAATGTAGATTTGGTAAATTAAATGACATCGCTGCAGCAGAGATTGAGAGAGTGATGGGAGACAGACGAATAGTTTGGACATGACCCTGGATAAACCGCCATGTTGCTTTTTGTTATTAACACCTTGTCTCTTTCTCCCTCTCTTGCTCTTGTGCTCAGTGTGTCGCACTCTCTTGGATTTTTTTCTTGGTGATATTTTTCTGTAAGTCTTCTACTGGCGGCCATGATGATTTTTGTTGATGAAGGCCTCCAAATATTCAGATCCTGAAAAGGCTAGAGGAAGCTACTACTGGAGAAGCGTCAAACATCAGACGCTTTTGACTGACAAAATGATGGGAGCAACAGGATCCACTAATCTGGGTGATTAACTTTAGGAATTTGACAAAAACGTGGTGCTGACAAAGCTGTTGATATTAATTACATTAGTAAACTGAGCAGACGCAACAGCTGAGAAACTGACCTATTTTCAAGATAATTTTTTGTAATAAATATATATTAGTTATTCTTTTGAATATTAAGCAGCCAAGATCAACAATGAACTGTACAAAGTGTTTTGTTCTACTTCATTACTCCCAGCACTTTTAACAAAGTTTCAACTAATATTTTAAGGCTTCCTGAAATAATTTTGATACACTAGATGACTATGAAAATGGTAGGTAAGGTAAATTTTACCTCAGTATAACCCTTATCTTTCTTTATGAATGTTTATGTAAATGTGCCGCTGCGTGCCTGTGCTGTCCTCTGCTGCTTGTGTGAGTATGGACAGGAGATGTTCTTTCGTAATTGCCTCCTAATTTGCATAAG